AGGTGATGATAATGACAGTTGAGAAGTATACAGGCTTCTTCAGTGTCTCTCTGGGTTATAACAGAAGTAGCAGCCGAGTAACAAACCCCTCAGTGAAGAGAGGTCAGGGAGGAATCATACACTTATTTGTTTGAACTCCTATGGAGGCCTCCTGCATATTTTAGTGTCATGAATGGTTTTTTCATCATTACTCTTCATGTATAATACCTTCTCAACATTGTCCAAACATTTGAAGTTCTTTCCTTCAGTTTGTTCCTACAGTAATAATGACTGTAATTTCTTTGTTTATTCAGTCTTGTAGTACCAAGATGGATTCTTTTTCATTATATGTAACTCATTGAATTTATTGGTCTAGTCTAGCCTTGTATTTAATTCATTAAATTCTTTATTTTAATTCCCTTTTTGAAAATTGATATTTTTTACAAATGTTCTTGTAATATTTACTTATAATATTTCTCTTCACATATTATCACTATATCCCTACACAACTAATATCATGTTCTTTCTTTCTCTCTTCAAAATATAAAATAAAAAGTGAAAATCAACAAGCATACCAAAAACAAAAAGTCAGTAAGATAAAAAAAAAAACCCAACTAAACAAAAAGTATATAAAAACCATGGGGACTATTTTCTATTGATCATCTCACATGGGTATATGACCTTACCAATATGTAGATGATATACCCAGTGACACTCCATTGGAGAAAATGGATTTTCTCTTTCAAAAATACCAATTGCAATAGGATTTCTTTCATAGAAATTGAAATCCTCTTACATAGGATTAAGACTCTGAGTCCAGAACCCCGTCAGTCTTAAAGTTTTACAGGTATTGTGATGCTACCATAGGCTCCCTGTGCTCCTATAAGCATTATTCCCGTTGCATCTAGAATTTAATATTACCTTGGTGCCATCTGCCACCTTTGAAGTTTCAAAATTGTTTGTCTCCTCTTATGCATAGTCTCAAGAACCTTCACGAGATTTTTTTTTAAAAAAAAAAAAACCTGAGAGATCTAAAAGCTTCCCATATTCTGCACATTGTCCAGTTGTGGGTATCTCTGCCAGTAGTTATATTATCTACTATAAGAAAAGGGTTCTCTGATGAAAGTTTGTGAGTATATCTCTAGGGTATAGCAATCTGCCATAGGGAATAATTTTTTTACTATGTTACTTTAGTGAATAGTAACATTAGGCTCCCCCCCTTCTCTATTTAACTATCTAATCTCTGATTCTTGGAAACTTTAACTTTGTCAGGTATGGGTTCCATCTCATGGAAGGTACTAATCAGGGTCTCTATGGAACAGAACTGATAGAATAAATAAATACGTAATTAAGAAGGGGACTTTAGAGTGTCTTACAGGTTGTGTCTCAAGTAGTTCAACAGTGGCTATCTCAGGACAGATGGACCAAGAATTCTGAGTTGTTCATTTTATGAGGGTGGCTGTTATTGCATTCCAAATGTCGTATTGATCTTAGAGAATTCTGAGAGATCTGCTGGTTTCAGTCTTTGTAGGATTCTCAAAAAGTAGATTCTAATACCAGTGAATCAATGTCTCAGGATACTTTTGGATTTAGGATATACAAACTTGTCAGGGAGTGTGGGAGCAATCAGACAAAAATCAAAATCACACTTCTTCCTTATCCTTTGAAGTGCAGTGTCGGTACTAGACGTGGTCCAGACCATAGGTTGGTTGTCTAAACTATCAAATCAAGAAATCACTGAGTGACATATCAAGCCAATGAAGAGATTAAATTTCACTTTCTGACATAGGAACCCAAGTTATCCTTGATACGTTAAAACCCAGAGTGTTTTCATTTGCCGTAGAATTAGAATAAAACCAACAGAATAAATAAAATGTCCAAATGGAACTACAAAGGGCTGGAGAATTGCATGATACACACCCATTCAAAGTGAAGAACAGCAAGTGAGATAGGAAAAGAAGATCTAGACAAGTTAGTTGATTACCTATTTTCATCCTTGAGTTCAGAGACTATGGATAAGTTCTCAGTTTCTAAGAAGAAAACAGAGAGAATTTTCTTCACTACACAGAGAAGAATATTGGATGCAATAACCAAAAAGCAGAAAGCACATTTTATTGGATAACATGGATGTGTGACAGGAAATAAACAGTAGGTTAGGGAAAATTAATGGGATAAAATAGTGGAGAGTAAAGAAGAACATGTTCTCACGTTGCAAAGTCAGGGTATAGAATACTAAAAGATACAAGAAATAAGAAAGGAATGACTATGAGGTGAACTGATTAAACTTGAGATCTTTTAAATATGAAAGCCTGGGATAAAACCGGTCTCGCTGAACATAGCAGACAAGGAGGACTACTGAGACCTCAAGAACAATGGCAATGGGTGTTTGATCTTACTGCATGTATTGGCTTTGTGGGAGTCTAGGCAGTTTGGATGCTCACCTTACTAGACCTGGATGGAGGTGGGTGGTCCTTGGACTTCCCACAGGGCGGGGAACCCTGATTGCTCTTTGGGCTGACGAGGGAGGGGGACTTCATTGGGGGAGGGAGAGTGAAATGGGAGGCGGTGGTGGGGAAGAGACAAAAATATATAATAAATGAATAAATAAATAAAAAAAAGAAATATGCTGGGGTTAATGCGGACTCCAGACTCCAAGTACAAAAACACACCTGTCTTTGGATAGTACTTTACAGAGTGTGGAAAAACAGTGCTTTATTAGAGAAACTGAAAAGTGTGTGTTCATGTTCTTCCAGGACATTCCAGGAAAATGAGTATATAGTTTATTCCATTGCATCAGGACATTTACTTTGATTGTCAGATGAATATTTAGCTGCCATCTGCATCCAGTCTCATATGCTGCAACACTTTCCTTATCTTCCTATGGCCTTGGATAATTTAGGTAATTTTTTAGATAATTTTTCAGGTGAAAAAGAATTCATCTAAGTCATTTTTTTTCTGAAAATGCCACCATCGCACTAACGTATTTTTAAAATGTGACAGTATGTGAATAGTCTGAGAAATCTTACAGACATGGCAGTATGACATTCTTTCCATCAGGAATGACCTAGGTTTGAAAATGAGAAACAATGCAGAGATGGCATTCACATGTTCAGGTGTTTGAAGCTCACCCAGCCATGCCAGTCATAGGGCCACAATATATGCTATAAAACCCATGGTGACATTTCATTCAGTTTATTCTGAGTTCCAGTTCTTCCACCTGCCAGTCAGTTTCCCTTCTGACCCAATTGTCAAAATTGTAGCTAAACGTCTCACTGTGAAAGTCCAGAACCATCACTTGTTTTCAGAAACTCAGTCATGATCTAACCTCCAACATATATTTTCTATATCTGGCATCAGTTGAGAGAAAAGCATCTGATTGGAAAGACCCTTCAATTGGGTCTTATAAATTGGCACACGCCAACCTACCATCAGGTATTGCTCTTCTATGGCTAGTTTATACCATAGTAATATTACAACTGAGTCTTAGGGATGAGTAAAAATACCTGGATACCAGAGGAATCCTCACTGACTGAACACAGCCTGATACTCTCATTATAAAAATATAATAGAAATATCCATAATCCTCCCATTTCTTCCTGTACCTCATTTTTGTTCAGAAATCAAGTTTAATATTGCTGAAAGCTATTCTGTTATTCAAAATTAGTACAGACTTCCAGCATAGGCAGTTGGACCTTGAAAACAGGGTAGTTATTTTTAGTATAGTTATCTAGGCCAATATCGGTAATTCATAGGATAACCATGGAATATACCCGTCGTATTGTTTATACACATTACTATGTATACAAGCTCAAGGGACCTGGGTGACTTCAATACAACATGAGAATGAAAGGAAAATATCTTAAAACTGTTGCAGAATTGGACCATTGTATTTATATAGTCCTCTACTCCCCCACAAAGTAAGCCATTTCCTAATCAGCCCTCATCATTCTCATCCAGTATGTCTAAAATCCCTGATACTGGTTTGAAAGCGTATTCTCTAAAAGCTCATCTTATTAGGAACTCTGGACCTCCTTTCTTCACGTCATTGATATTTTCATGCTGGTCTGTATAGATCATTTAGTTCTTATTATTAAGAAGATTAGCCAAGATCAGAGCAAACCAATTTAAGAACCACTTTTGTAACAGTGCTGTTTGAAGAGTCCCACATCTCCCAGAACCAGGGGGCATCTTCAATGTTGCTAAAGCATCCTACATTCATCAAGGTATTTCATTTTTGATTACTTATCTTTTTATTTGTTTATTTACTTTTTATTTTACCACCCTGCCATTGTTTCCCATCCTTCCCCTTAACTTAGTCCCACCCATCCCTTCTCTGCTCTTCACCCCCATCAAATTCTTCTCAGTTACTTTTCAGATGAGGGCAGGCCTCCCTTGGAAATCAACAAAATAAGGTATATAAAGTTGATGGTTCAATGCAGCAGCCCAGTATGAGCATAAGTGTCCCAAAAGCTGACAATAGTTAGAGACAGTCCCTGGTCCAACTGTTCAAACTCCCAAAAGAAGACCAAGCTAAGCAACTATAACATATATGCTGAGGGCCTAGGCCAGTCACATGCAGGCTCCCTGGTTGTTGGTCGGATCGGCTTCTGTGAGCCTCTATGAGCCCAGGTTAGTTGGTTCTGTAGGTTTTCTTGTTGTGTCCAGCTAGTGATTTCTAGCACCCCATGGAGTTTTTCTTCTCCATCACCCATGAACTTAGTGAGTAAAGCACAGCTGTGTAGACAGATGCTTGACTGACACTGTTTCCCATTATAGCATTGTTTCAAAAATCAGCTGTTTACCTCCATTTATCCTGAGAATAAAGTTTTCTTGACACCTGAAGGTCTTTTACTGCCAATAAATCCAAAAGTAGTTGACATTATAATCCAAGAAGAGGAAAAAACAGGTGTGTTTGCTCAGTAAGAACCAATGACATCATGTCTCCACTTCAACCAGCAGAGTTCTCCTCCTTGGCCATATAAATGCATGCTCCACTTCAGTGCTCTCTACCTTTGGCCACCATGAGTGCCCTCCTGATCCTCGCCCTTCTGGGAGCTGCTGGTGAGTTTCATGCCATGTCTGGTCCTACTTTTCTAATTGCTTAGAAAACTACACTGCTACATTTACTACACTTTTCTGCTGTGCATCGTTCTCCAGCATTCTCTATTTTCAACTTTTGTAATCTCCCAAACTTCAATTTAATCTATCTCCCTCAATGCAGTCTCTACAGCATCCTTTATTAGATGCAGGCCCTTGACTATGGAGGAAATGAATGGGAGGCCAAATTGAGGGTGCCTGAAATGATCTGTGAGACAAATATCTTAAGAGCAGCTGGACTGATAATTCAGTAACATAGTTATTAACGAATTCCACAAGGAATAAAGTTAGGGGTTAGGTAAATGACATATAGTCAGATCCCATGAGCATGTTCATTCACTCAATTATTCTATTCTTTTACTGAAACACTTGGGGAGTTCTGAGCCCACAAGGATCCGTTTACCTGCTCTGCGTTCCTTTCCCCTGGTAGATATTGAACACTGGTGCTAGCTACTGCAACTGTGTTTTCCCTGTTCTCCCTTAGTCATTCTTAGAAAGTAATGCTAAAAAGTGGGAGATCTGATGTGATACTGAACAATCCACCCTCCAACAGCATGAGGAAATTTATTTTTCTTTCTCTCTCTGCCCTAGTTGTTTTCCCTACTGAGACTAAAAAGCCAACATTCTGGTGGCACATGCAAGTAATAGATGGAAAAGTAAACCAGGCCATGAGCAAGTCTGGCTTCTAATGGAATCCCACTCAGTGTGTTCTTGGTAGTTGTTTCTGTCCCAACCCTGATGCTGAGAAGTGATTGAGCCTTGTTGGCAATACCTATCTGTCCATAGATCCCTAAAATCTATGTTACCCATTGGAAACAGAGTTATCCCAGTTTTCCTACAGTCATTGTGCTCAGGAAAAAATCCTAAGAGTACAAGCTACCATAGAGCCAATGGACTCACTTTCAGTCACCATGATGAAATATTATTTCTTATTTCCTGTCTCCATTAAGTTGCATTTCCTGTTGATGATGATGACAAGATTGTTGGAGGCTACACCTGCCAGAAGAATTCTGTTCCCTACCAGGTGTCTCTGAACACTGGTTACCACTTGTGTGGAGGCTCCCTCATCAATGACCAATGGGTGGTGTCTGCAGCTCATTGCTACAAGTCGTAAGTGATGATTTCCAGACTGCATTGCTCCAAGAGTGGGGTATCTTTACACCAGGCATCTGTATGAGCAGGTGACGAGTGCTGTAGGAAAATGTGAAACGTGAATGTGAGATGGGAAAGAAAGGAAGTGCTGACAGCGTCTGATGATCATAGTCTTTGATGAACACTGACACATAATAGGATGATCAACACCACAAACACACAAACTTACTCTCTCTCTCTCTCTCTCTCTCTCTCTCTCTCTCTCTCTCTCTCTCTCACACACACACACACACACACACACACACACACACACTCAAATAAAGATAAAATTGGAAGAATCTTGAAAGGAAGGAAGGCTAATTTTCTCATCTTAGAAACTGATGAAGAAGTTGACAATGTTTTTTTTTTTTTTTTCACAAATACTCCCTGGGTCCTCTATCGTGAAATGGTAATTAGGGTTTTCAAAACACAGCTGAAATTGGCTTTATCTTTCATTTGCTTCTCCTGTTGATTTTAAACACTATTAGGCCATGAGTGACACTGTTCTCAATATTGAGTGTGAGTAAAAAGGATAAAGAGGAGTTATTATAACACAGTCTATACAACCTCATAATGTAAAGTGTGACTCATTAGCTTTGAAACTGGGATCAAGAGAATGAGCCTCTCACAAGGCCTCAAAATCATATTGTGAAGCTTTACATACCACATTTTGAGGTGTCTTGGTCAAATGCAATAGGACAACAGTTTTATCAAAAGGGGATGACAATTATAAGTTCCAGGCTGTGGTGCACACAACTTTAATCCCAGCACTTGGGAGGGAAAGACAGCTAGATCTCTGTGAGTTCAAGGCCATCCTGGTCTATAAGAGCCAGTTCTAGGACAGGCTGCACAGAGAAACCCTGTCTCAAAAAACTAAAAATAAAATAAAAAGAAAGAAGGAATAAAAGTTTCTGCATGAAGTTAACTAGGACAAAGTGAATGAAGAGGGTTTCAAATAACTCCTTATCTCTTTAGCCTGGGATATTGTGGGTATATGAGAATGATGGGTAGTCTACACCTGCAGTCCTTTACCTCTGCTCTGTACACCATAGCTCTCTGAAAATGAATGGGAGAGGAAGAAAAACAACATCCTATCCGCCATCCATGTTCTGTTCCTATGATAATGCAGCAACAGTTTTCACAGATTCAGAGCCAGACAAGAGTGAGGAGCTTAAAAACTTATAATATCTAGAGTCACAGAGGAAAAGAGTCTAGCGCGCCTCTCTTCCAACAGCCGCATCCAAGTGAGGCTGGGAGAGCACAACATCAATATTCTTGAGGGCGATGAGCAGTTCATCACTGCTGCCAAGATCATCAAGCACCCCGACTTTGTGAGGAAGACCCTGAACAATGACATCATGCTGATCAAGCTCTCCTCCCCTGTGGCCCTCAATGCCCGAGTGGCCACTGTATCTCTGCCCACCTCCTGTGCACCTGCTGGCACTCAGTGCCTCATCTCTGGATGGGGTGACACCCTCAGCTTCCCTGGTGAGTAGAACAAGTCACCTACTATTTTTCTTTTGTTTTCTTCGCTCTGCAATCTCCAACATCTCTGGAATTATCTCAGTGGCTTCTAGACTGCAAATTTATTGCAGGTACAGAGTATGTACAGGTTCTGAAACAGATTCTAAAGAAATTTTTATAAGATTTCCAGAATGCTGTCCAGGAACATGCGGAAAGTGATCTTAATCTTTTAAAAATGTATAAGCCATGAATATTGTGGAATTGATAAACCACAGTATCCATATGAATCATAATATTCTGCATTGCTTTCCTGTGGTTTTATGCCTGGATTGGTGTCTAGATACAGTGGTCTTCATTGTTTTCCTTTCCTCACAGACAATGAACCAGACCTGCTCCAGTGCCTAGATGCCCCTCTGCTGACTCAGGCTGAGTGTGAAACCTCCTATCCTGGAAATATCACTGATAACATGGTCTGTGCTGGATTCCTTGAGGGAGGCAAGGATTCCTGCCAGGTGAGTGGCACTTTTCACTTCTTCAGACCTCTCATCCCCTGGGAGTGGAACTTCAAAGCAGAGTAGTTGTAGGCAGCAAATTTCTTGTGATAGACTACAGGAAATGAGGAGGTCCACTCTGAATGTCAACACAGTAGTGAGGGTAGCAGATAGGTTACAGAGAAAAAGAAATGGACCAAGTGAGAGGAAATAGGCAATGATCAAGTTCAGAAAATGTACAGCTCTCTTTCACATGTCCTTTCCCATGTACTGTGTTGCTTCCTTCTAGGGTGACTCTGGTGGTCCTTTGGTCTGCAATGGAGAGCTCCAGGGTATCGTCTCCTGGGGTTATGGCTGTGCCCTGCCAGATAATCCTGGTGTCTATACCAAGGTCTGCAACTATGTGGACTGGATTCAAGAGACTATTGCTGCCAACTAGAGATTCCCGAACCATCTGCAGTTACTATGCCAATAAACTTTTCCTCACTGCCTATGTTTCTGCCTGATCTCTTTATACCATTGGGATTGAAGCTTGAGGTCACTCCTTTCTTAACTTGAATGTTCTAAAGAGCATCCTGTATCCCAAAGTAGATTGTATGTAACAGCAGTATGTGAAGAGGCAAAACACCAGACAAATTTTACAACAAGCTATATGCCACCTTTGTTGTAGCATATGTTGCAGGCACAAGACCATTTCAGAATTTGAGGATGGTTTGGTGCTTATATTTCTCTTTTGGTTGGTAGCATTTAGAATGCCTTCCTTTAACAAAGAGGCCAGCACTCAGGGGCAAAGGTTCTATGCAGGCAACAACTCACCTTCTTCATGTTTAATACATTGTGTGTAACTGCTGTATTCAACAATGGGACCTTGCTGTCAGTGTGTTTAGAGCAATGTCTAATCTTGGACACAATCTGGTTTCTTTGGGAATTATATCATTTGTTTTTTTAAGGAGGGAGAAATATAATACACATCTGAGTGTTTAAGTGTTGTAATAGGAGCAGCAGGCTACGTTCCTGGCACCCGGCCACCCGCACGGCTAGTTTTATACCCGAAATAATTACACGGAAACTGTATTCTTTTAAACGCTGCCTGACCCATTAGTTCCAGCCTCTTATTGGCTAGCTCTTACATATTGATCTAACCCATTTCTAATATTCTGTGTAGCACCATGAGGTGGCTTACCAGGGAAGATCTAACCTAAATCTGTGTCTGGTGGGAGAATCATGGGAACTGACTGACTTGGCTTCTTTCTCCCAGCATTCTGTCTGTCTACTCCACGTACCTAATTTTCTGTCCTATCAGGGTCAAGGTAGTCTTTTTATTTAACCAATGAAATTAACACAAAACAGAAGACTCTCTCCCATCATTTAAGGAAACTGTAATCATCTCACTGAAATTGGGGAAGAGCAAACCAAAATCAAAATATGCTGTATGATGGACAATTTTTTTCAAAAAAAGAGAAAATGCACCCAAAACTTGCTTAAAGGCCAAACAATCTTATTGAAGGCAGTATCTGAGAGTCTACATGAGCACCTATTCTAATTTAACTTCAGTTTCATATCTATCCCCATGCACAAAACTCAAGTACAATTGGATTAAAAGCTTCAATATGAATCTGTCCACATTGAACCTAGTAGAAGAAAAAGTAGGAAGTAGCCTTCAGTGCATGGTCACAGGAGACCAATTCCTAAATATAAGCCAGTAGCACAGACATTGAGAGCAATAATAAATAAATGGGACCTCCTGAATCTTAGAAGTTTCTGAAAGCAAAGGACAAACTCAATAAGACAACAAGGTAGCCCACTGAATGGAAAAAGATCTTCACCAACCCCACATCTGGCAGAGGACTAATCTCCAAAATAAAATAAAGAACTCAAGAAAATATGTAAAATACCAATACTCCAATTTTAAAATGGGGTATAGATTTAAACAGAGAATTCCCAAGAGAAGAATCTCAAATGGCTGAAAGACACTTAAAGAAATGTTCAGTATTCATAGCCATCAGAAAAATGCAAATCAAACTTTGAGTTACTATTGTAAACCTGTCAGAATTGTTAAGATAAAAACATCAATGATAAATTATGCTGGAGAGGATGCAGAGTAAGGGGAACACTCCGCCTTTGCTGGTGGGAATGCAAACTTGTACAACCACTCTGGAAATTGGTATGATGGCTTCTCAGAAAATTGGGAATCAACCTACTTTAGCACCCAGCAATACTACTCTTTTGCATATACCGAAAGGGTGCTCAATCACACTATATAGACATATGTTCAACTATGTTCATAATAGCATTATTTGTAATAGCCAGAACCTGGAGACAACCTAGATGCCCCTCAACTAAAGAATGGATAAAGAATATGTGGTACATTTACACAGTGGCATACTACTTAGTGGTAAAAAAAATAGCATCTTGAAATTTGCATGCAAATGTATAGATTTAGAAAAAAAACATCCTGAGTGAAGTAACCCAGACCCAGAAAGATGAGCATGTATGTACTCACTTATAAGTGGGTAGTAGCTGTTATGCAAAGTATCCTGTGCCTATAGTCCATGACCCCAGTGAAGCTAAGTAGCAAGGAGAACCCTAAGAGAAATATATATATATATATACATATATATACATATATATATATATATATATATATATATGTGTGTGTGTGTGTGTGTGTGTGTGTGTACACATATATATATATATACACATACATATCCCCCTGGAAAGAGCAAGTAGCCAAAATAGCCTGAGAAAATTGGGAGCATTTGGGTCGGGGGAGAAGGGAGGGCATAAGTGGAAGAGGATAGAAGGGGAAGGAGTAGGAGAACTAGAGGGAACAGGCTAATCAAGATGGAGGAAGAACAGAGACAGAGAACACACACACATATAATTCACCTTATTGCTTAGCTTCTTTAGAATCATAAACTATAGACTCAATATCCTTTGTTTATAGCTAGTATCTACTTAGAAGTGAGTACATACCATATTCATCTTTTTGGATCTGGGTTGCTTCACTCAGGATAGTGCTTTATAATTCCATCTATTTGCATGCAAAATCCAAGATGTCATTGTTTTTCATCATTGCATAATACTCTAATGTGTAAATGTGCCGCACTTTCTTTATCCATTCTTCAGTTGAGGGGCATCTCGGTTGTTTCCAGGTTCTGGCTATTACAAATAATACTGCTATGAACATAGTTGAACAAATACTTTCGTACTATGATTGAGCATCTTTTGGGTATATTCCCAAGAGTGGTACTGCTGGATCCTGAGATAGGTTGATTTCCAATTTTCTGAAAAACCTCCATACTGATTTCCAACATCGTTGTACAAGGTTGCATTCCCACCAGCAGTGGATGAGTGTTTCCCTTACTCCACATACTCTCCAGCATAAGCTATTATTAGTATTTTTGATCTTAGCCATTCTGGCAAGTGTAAGACGGTATCTCAGGTTTGTTTTGATTTACATTTCCCTGATAGCTAAGGAAGTTGAACATTTCCTTAAGTATCTTTTGCCCACTTGAAATTCTTCTATTGAGAATTCTCTGTTTAGTTCAGTACCCAATATTTTAATTGGGGTATTTGGATTTTTACTGTCTAATTTCTTGAGTTCTTTATATATTTTGGAGATCTTTTCCCATTCAGTATGCTGCTTTTTTGTCTTATTGACTGTGTCCTTTGCTTTACAGAAGCTTTTCTGTTTCAGGGGGTCCCATTTATTTATTGTTGCTCTCAGTGTCTGTGCTACTGGAGTTATATTTTCAAATTTCATTAGCTAAAATGAAAGTAGAACATGAAAGAAATAGTAGGCTAGGGAAAATAATAGAAGAAAAGAATCGAGATTGAATGGGAACATGTCCTGTAATTAGAAATTGGGAGTGTAGCATAGTAAAAGATACAAGAAATAAGAAAGTGTGGCTAAAGTGATCTGAGAAAATTGGAGAGTAATTTAAATATGAAATAACCATGTGGCATCTATAAACTTCCACCTTTCCTCTATGACATTCCAAAGAATATGCCAGGAGCAAACTGGACTTCATATTCCATGTACAGAAACTCTCCTGTCTTTGGATGGTACCATTTACATGGGGTAGGCAAAAAAAAAGTGCACCATTAGAGAAACTGAAAACTCTATGTTCATTTCTTTCCAGAAATAAAATGTCCCTCCCCAAAATGTGTAGTTTGTTCCATGGGATCACTGATATGATTGTCAGCAGAACATTTAGCTGCCACCTGCAGCTAGTCTCACATGCTCTAACAATTTCCATGTTTTCCTATGGCCCTGGAGTGGCATGTCCATTTTAGATAACTTCTCAGGTGAAAAAGAACCCCTCCAAATCAATCCCTTCTAAACTCCTCCAACTAACGTGTTTGTGAAAAGTAAAAGTATGTGAATAGTTGGAACAACTGACAGACATGGCGACACAACAGTCCTTCCATTAGGTGTGAGCCCAGGAGGAAATGAGAGCAGGATGCAGAAATGACAACTCTGAAAGGCTCTTCATGTGTGAAGCTCGCCCAGCCATTCCAGTAACAGGATCACAACAAATGCTATGAATCCTATGATGGCTTTTCCTGTAGTTTCTTCTGAGTTTCAATCCTCCACCTTCCAGTCAGTTCCCCCTCAAACCCATTAGTCAAGGTTTTAGCTAAGCTTCTCTCCCACCGCTGTTAAGTCCAGAACCATTACTACTTTTCAGAGACATCAACCATGATATCACCTCCCAGCATCTGACAGGAAGGATTCCTCAATTGGGTCACATTATTAGGCACAGCTAACACACAGCTGGCACACATTCCTTCTATGGATAGCTTGTACTGTAGTAACTGTGGATAATGCATCTCTAGAAGGTTTAAGTTAAAAAAATGGATTCAATAAAAGAAGAGTCACCACTGACTGAGGCTGATTCTTAAACAATTACTTGTAGTTATGACCATCTTGGGGATACCTGTACAAATTAAGACTGATGATATGGCAGCATATGTCTCAAGTAAAATAAAACTTTTCCTGCATATTACAACATAAAGCATATTACAGATATACCACACTATTCTACATAGCAAGCAGGTACTTAATAGTGCTGTTTGTATCACAGCATATTGATTAATGTCATCTATATTGAGTGTGACCACTTACACATCAGTTAACTTTGTACAAACCATCCCTCACAGCATGTTTCAGTGGTAAAAAGCTGAGCATCTAAAGGCCAACACTTGTTAGGAACTATACCACCTTTTTTAAAAATCATCATTGATGTTCTAGTGCTGGTCCACAGAACCCTTACATTTTCATTTCCTATTAAGTAGATAGGTCAAGTTTAGAGTAACAGAATTTAGAGACAATTTATAGACTCTTTTGGGTATAAGGGTTTTCATAGCCACCCACAATCTATAAGAACTAGACCATCTTCAAATTTTCTGAAACCTCTTCTTTCATAGGCCTTT